AGAGACTTAATTGTCGAGAACTCTTTATATACTGTGGAATACCGCTCTCAGCGTTAAAGTCTATGGGTAGAAGGCTTCAGCATCTTTGCAGTTCGAAGTTTAGTCTCAGTGTGGAGTATCAAAAACATTCCTTGGTAACGGGACTGTTTATAATAGCAACAGATATCAAAGATTGCGGTTGAGTCTATGTCTGAATACAAAACGTCATATGTTGGAGATATCAACAATGTAAGCCTGGCGCCCCAGTCTTACGCATTCACCTTTGTTCCGCCCTTTAGTTCGACTCACACGTGATCACGGCATATGTAGCCTGGGAGGTTTCTTACTTTTCCTTACCGCACGCTGCCCGTCATGTATACCGTTCGCTAGTTCATCAAACAATACACCGTGGTCCTATCAACCTGTGTGACCCGGACCCAGTGAGCCTATTTGACGACAGGCTTCCAAACAACCTGCCTTCACGGAAACTCCATATGTATTGCCTCATCTTCTCTCTTACACTAAGTTTAGTGTGGCCGTTGACTCCATGGGCGCCACCTCTGAGTTCTTATCAGACGGCGCTGTGGTCAAGCTGTGTTATTACATAGTATGAGGGGCCGCCGGCTCTACCCTGTGTTACCTAACATTAAAATTTAGTTCTGTTAATGTGCCACAATTTATATTGTTCGGTTCTTGGGAAAGTGGAGGTACATGAAAATCTATCTGATGGTCACAATTGATGAAACGATGAGTTAGACCATTGGGCCTTAGCCAGACAGATCGGGGAGTAAGTCTAGAATATTTCCAATCTCAACTATCCCATGCCAAACACTTATAGTAGGCTTTATTTATTTATTTTAATTTGAAAATATTTCGAGATACTTTGATGCAATCGATCGTTGTAAACACTACGGCCCAAGAGACAGGCCTATCATTGCGCTGCCTCCAAGTATATCAATTTTGACATCATTTGATAGTTTGATTCAAAGATACGATTAATAATATTCTGCGATATAGAGGCCTGGTATGGCCAAGAATAACCAAAACCAGGGACGACGAATGAAACGGAGAAAAAATGAATTGTTTTCCAGTTGCTTTATACTCTGGATAGAAACAAATTTTCATGGGTCTCCACAACGATATTATCTTCTGAGGGCATCTCGGAAGGGAAGTTGGGAACCAGGAATCGGTTTTTAGTGTGAGTATAAGGGTGGAAAAGATTGGTGGTCATAATTTTATAATGCTCTTGATAAACATGATTGTCCGGGTATTCTATATACCTACCAACTCAGTGTTAAAGCACACCTGGTGAGTCAAATTTAGTTTAAGACTGGAGTATGAAAGCAGGCCTAGTCAATAAACAAGTTTATCGTACGACAGCAACAGAGAACCTGGATTGAATCTGTGTCCGAATGCAGTGACCAATATCTCAACTCGACCTTGGATTCCAAGCACAAAGTCTTATAGTCGACTCAATACTCGATCCAACTTATAATTATGAAACAGTTCCATTCCAACCTATGTTTAGGGAATCTACACCCCCCAAAATACACTCATGACAATGCAATTCGCATGAAATATATATCCTCATGAGTGCCTTTGTCAACATCGATAATCTCTGGTCACTTTGTACATCAAATTATCAATATAATAGCTTAGATCGTCCATTTGAATTATAACATACCTCTTCGTAGAGAGGGGGCCCAGCGCTTGGTCCCCCAATCTGCCTTAATAAATGTGGTTCGTGGTAGGAATAATAGGCGGCAGTGCTTTGAGTAGCAGAATTATCATTGATAATGACCAGATTCGGTGTTGTCTGTTCGATATAATTGTGCTTGGTGGGTCTGCTGATGACCAAAACCGCCAAAAGCACGGGAATGTGGAATAGCAGCAAAGTCATGGTACAATAAAAGTTTGTCAGAGAGCTAGTTGCTTGAGGATAGGTTTTGGGAGAGGTTCTATACCCGGTACTAATGACATCTTGCCTGCCTTATAGTGCGACACGTGAAGGCCCTGCTCCTGTTGAAGGGGTTCTTTCCCTAATGGGGAATCCGTCCAAATTTATGCGGTGTGAGCTTAAGATTTTGGTGATATCAGCTTAGCATCTTGAATATTTGGAAGATACATAGAGAGACTCAAGCGTGGTTCATTCGTTCATTTAGCAACATGTAAATTGAAACGGTAAACCATGAGGTAGTGGCATATGATAGACAACAGTTCATGTTAGAAAGTAAGACCTAAAGACAATTAGCTAATGGATGACTATTAGTTACATCATGTGCGAATACATAACTGGTCTTTGAACTCACCTCAGTCTCGTATATGATATAACAAACTGAGGTGATACTATCATAATCCTTCAGTTTATATATGTTTAACCACATATGTTGCTAGGCACCATGTTATTGGTGTTGGATGGCCGTGCCCGAAAGTTGTTGATACCGGGCGGCCATGCCTGAAATTAGGCGTTTCAATGGTGTTGTTCAGCAGTTCATACCCACACGGAAGCTTTAATATTGTGCTGATAGATTATAGGACCATGGCATCTAAGCGTGATAAAAAAAAGGAAAGAGCGATATACACATCGGGATATTCAGTTGTTGTTTTAACGGTCCGATTTGATGAACTTGTTTTGGCTGCCTTATGCTCTAGGGTGGGTTGCACACCTATTACACCTGGATTTATAAGCATATTAGCCCTGGTGTACATTATGTGCACCCCCGGGCTAATTTGCCCCCTTATTGCGTTGGGCCTCTTCCACGGATAATACTGTGGATCTGGGGGAGGTCGAGGGAAAAAAATCAATAAACGTTAATAAAAATCAATACAACTAAGACAAAACGTTCCTTACTTTTACTACAACACTTTGTAGTCTCAAGACCGTGGGAGTCCTCTCCTCAATCCTTCACTTACCGTCACCTTCATCCGCTTACCAGCAACATCAATCACCTCCCGTCGTCACGGCGCTGCCCTTTGGCAACGTTCCTGCACGCCATACTGCTGCGCTCATTGTCAGTGACGACGAGCTCGCGCCTCGCCTCCCTGGCCTCTCCAGAATGGCGCGCTCAGCGCAATTTATCCGAGTCAGGGGTTCAAGCCGCGCTTACAAGCATCTCATTTTCAAATTATTCTCTTGTAACAGTTCTAGGTGCCTTTATATAACTGCAAATTGTTGATAAGGGAAGAATATGGAGAATGGGAGGGTGAGGAAGTCCCAGGGGTTGTACAAGGAGTTCTACAACCCCTTTGGCTTATTGACCTGCCGCTGCATTTGCTTGGACATTTTTATGTCCTGGAACCCACCGCAAGGATATTTTACTCTAGGAAGGATTTACTCTTATGTCCATCAATTTGTAATCTCATTGAAGAGAGTGCAGAGATCGGGAGAGGGCTTGAGGTTTTTATGCAATAGCCGCTTGATTGTTGATGCTGAACGTGACCGAAGACAGACCTTCGAGTTGGTTGAAAGATGGAAAGCAAGTAATACGCCAACTATTTCAGCCTTATAGACCGTATGATTCATTGAGGTACTAAACTTGGCCGCTATTGAACTATGGGTAAAGCACCATTGTTATCAGGCATTAGCTAAAGGAGGGGTGGCTCTAGTATTGAAAATTTGGCGTTATTCCTTTTTGTCGACTGCGGTGAGCTCAATCAGAATTATTTAGAAATTATGAGCAAATATAGGCTAAAATATTGTTTCATCCATTCAGCCTTACACAACCTCTGGTGAAAAAAAAGGGAGGATGGGGATGGGAAGGTTGCAAGTCTGATGGTGTCCTGTTGCTATTTGTACATGGGATTCGAGAAACGATGTACCTTTTTTTTTCCTTTCAGGGTAGACCATACGTACAGATATCACAAACAAAATAATTGAATGAAGACCGGCGCAGTCAGGGTAATATATCTCTGCATGGCCTGATGACAGGCTGTTACCCTTTGATTACTCATCATGATATGAAATGTGTCTCTCTGAGATGACTGGAGCAGTTGATAAAGTGCAGGGAATTCAACATGCCGCCTTCTGGTTGGAGAGGAGTTTGGGGAGAGTGAATAGAGAACAAAATAAGTCATCATGCAGTTGCAGTGTGGATTTAATTTGGCATGACATTGTTATGACCAGAACTCCTGCTGGACCCTGGACCCCATCCTATATGCACCCAGCTCTCTATACACACCAAGTTACAGTTACCAGAATCCCCACTGGGCCCCAGACCTTGCACCTGTCTATGCTCGACTCTGTTTGTCTCATGTATCAGTCACTGGAATACCCGCTGGGACCCACACATGTCAACCTGTCTAAACCCATCTCATTCCCATGCACAAGCTACTGGACTCTGCCCAGACTATCCGTCAGCTCTCTGACTGAGCCCCATTCCCATTTATGGTTTAATTACCTGTCCCGCTTATTTCTCTGCTTTGTTCCACTCCGTCTCATTCAGCCCCTAACACCAGGATTGGTGTTTATTTTCTCGTTTTGTCTTCTGCTTGATAAGACTCTCATTATTACAGGATTTGGTATAACATATGTACATTCACTAGTCTATATAATATAAAATGTTTTGTACATACAATCTGGTCAGAAAATCAACTAAGATTCTCCCCAGTTACTTATCATATTATCCACTCTAAATCCTATCTCTTATCCCTGCAATACAACCTCATCACCATTGTCTCGGGGCCCGTGGGCCACTCCGAATCAGCATCCGGCCTCCTTGACCTCCATGGGCCTCCCAACTCGACTTCACCTATCAACCACCGGACTATCGATCACCACCCTGGACTCCCTGGGTTTCCTGACCACATCTGAAATTGGACACAAAAGTCTTGCAAGGGTGCAACCCAAAGTTGAAGCCACATCCTACCGGTATCGGGGGGTTTCTCCGGAAACCACTTATAGGCTTGAACTCACACCTTAACAGACATGACGAAATGGAGGTTACTGGTATTTCATCTGATGCCTGTCATAGTGGCACAATAGTAATGTGTTAGATTGTGTAATACTAGCACGGCTTTCCCAAGGTTGGATGGTGTAATGGTTAACACCTCTGTTATGTAAGCAGAAGCCCTGGGTTCAATTCCCAGTCTGGCCATTCATTTTCTGCACTTTTAACAGGTTATGGGCCCCACTATGTGCTACATATAGGGCATGGTTCCTATGTGTAGAGTGAACAGCTATATGTGTGTATGGTACAGTTGTAAGGATTTGGTGTGGATGTATGTACAGTGACTCACAAAATTGTCCCAATGTTTTACACTTTTTCATTGTTTGATGAATAACTTGAGAGCATCAACAGATATAGACAAAGTGTTGGTGTATCAAACATAGTGTTTGATCATGGCTATACCACAAAAAAACTAATTATCTAATTCCTCTCAATATTCATTGAGATATATGCAAGTTAATATAATGACTCATTGGGACAATTTTGTGAGTGTATATTAAAAATATAGTAATTGTGATTCTAGTACTTGGTATGACCTCCCTTGGCCTTAATAACTGCTTCTAGTCTTCTAGGCATGCTTTCAATTAAATTCTGACACACCTCTGGTGGAATATTAGTCCACACTTCCACCACTCTCTCCCATATCCTCCAACCTCCCTTGGGGACTGTTGGATATTTGGATAGCTCTCTCTTGAGGTGAACCCATTGATGTTTATTAGGTATAACGAGTATTGCAGAAGTAAACATGCGTATGAAAAAGGTGAGACAAAATGTCTCGAAAAGACGCAATGCATCATATGTTCAATCTCCTCTCAAATGTACTCTTATATATGTGTAGTATAGCTAGGGAATCTCTCAGCGAACGCTTATTCGCTGAGAATAAGTGATATGTTTATTGCCTCATCTCGAAACAAAACTTATCTATGTATATAGTACTTAAACGTCTTTAGGTATTGTATAATATAGTGAACGTTTATTCACTGAGATACTTAAACGTCTTTAATGTTCAATAGGACTAATGTCTGGAGATTGTGCAAGCCAGTCTAGGAGAGTGATATTGTTGTCCTCTATCCACTTCTTGGCCTTTTTTGAGGTATGTTTGGGATCATTATCCTGTTGAAAAATCACCTCCTCTCCAGAAATTCCACTCTCCTCCAAGCTAGGCAGCATACTGGTCAGCATTCATCTTCCCTTCAATCTCTGCAAGATGCCCCACTCCATTCCACACCATACATCCCCATACTATGATGTTTCCTCCACCAAATTTGACTGTTCCCTGCACCTCAATGAGTTCACCGGTCATATGATGCGGCAAACGTAAGAGTGTGGTAGGGGTGGGTATTTAGGCAGGAACTTATGAATTGTCGTTGGATTGAACATAGAATGCAAATAATGTAAGAGCAAAGGGTTGAGTAACCATAGTCGTTTTTAAAGAAATTTGGCCCAGCGTCGGGTTGGGTACTATAGTGTAATGTGACGATGTCACTGGCATGGATCAAATACTGCGAATGGGGATCCCTATTACAGTACCTAGAATTCAAGTGGTCTCCATAAATCGGGGGGTGAATCATAGGTGTAGCACTTCAAGCTGAGTCCATATTTGCCCTGAAATGCAGGTATTATGCGGCACGATCAGCCTCATTCTTTCTTAGAGCTGGTCAATAAGCATGGACTTGTCAAATTCATGACACAGCGAGGGCCTTTAGCCATGAATCGCAGGCAGATTGATTTATTTCCAGCATTCAAAGCAAACAACAGGTGTAACATTATTGCACTCACTGCCCGATCTGAATGACGTTATGTAGTGAGAAATCCGTCTTATTCATAACATTGTGAATATCACCACGACTCAGACCAGAAATTTACATTTCGGATCTAGTTGATGGGCACATTGTGTTTTAAATATAATGTACCCTGTAAGTCTCCGAGGTATCATATGCATCAAATGACCCACACAAAAATACATGTTAGTGCGTACACGTGCAACAGCTATAAAGTTGATCATCAAACACAAATAATGAACAGTTCAGTCACTATTACATAGCTATAATGTTAAGAGAGAGATGGGGGTTTCTAGATCAGAAGGCAGTTTGAATTTGTCGAGCCGCTGGCAACCACAAGCTGAAGTTACACCTAGTGTGCTTTTGTATTAGGAGGAAATATATCTATATTAATCCCTAATCGTAGCCATTGCAACGAAACAATTTTTGTCCATTTAGCCGCACGAAGAAACTGAAAAACAAACACTGAAACCAAGTGCAATTAAAACTCAACAATGACAACAATGCTGCTTAGAGCGAATAATACATTCCCCTAAAACACCTTTCAATATCTAGTTTATGAATATAAATGTAATCCAACGATTTCTGTCCACTGTCTACCTTCTGCCTGCCTTCAGTGGTAGGGGAGGATGGGCCAAAACTAGCCATAGAAGTTTGTTTATTGAGGCTATTGAGTTAAAAATAATGCTGATCGAACTTACTTTCAGCACAGTCAACCTCCAATGCCAGGGCCGCCGATTACATCTGTACCAATTTTATCTCTCGAAAGTAGTGCAGGAGGGAAGTCGGGCCGTGGGGCAGCAGCAGCCAGTGCAGGCGCAAGTAATGCGATGGCAAATAGGACAGCGAGACGTGTTGTTAGCATTTTATGATGTTATGAGAGACTTAATTGTCGAGAACTCTTTATATACTGTGGAATACCACTCTCAGCGTTAAAGTCTATGGGTAGAAGGCTTCAGCATCTTTGCAGTTCGAAGTTTAGTCTCAGTGTGGAGGATCAAAAACATTCCTTGGTAACGGGACTGTTTATAATAGCAACAGATATCAAAGATTGCGGTTGAGTCTATGTCTGAATACAAAACGTCATATGTTGGAGATATCAACAATGTAAGCCTGGCGCCTCAGTCTTACACATTCACCTTTGTTCCACTCTTTTTGTTCCGCCCTTTAGTTCGACTCACACGTGATCACGGCATATACAGCCTGGGAGGTTTCTTACTTTTCCTTACCGCACGCTGCCCACCATGTATACCGTTCGCTAGTTCATCGAACAATACACCGTGGTCCTATCAACCTGTGTGACCCGGACCCAGTGAGCCTATTTGGCGACAGGCTTCCAAACAACCTGCCTTCATGGAAACTCCATATGTATTGCCTCACCTCTTCTCTCTTACACTAAGTTTAGTGTGGTCGTTAACTCCATGGGCGCGCCACGGCTCTGAGTTCTTATCAGACGGCGCTGTGGTGAAGCTGTGTTATTACATAGTATGAGGGGCTGCCCGCTCTACCCTGTGTGACTTAACATAAAATTTAGTTCTGTTAATGTGCCACAATTTATATTGTTTGGTTCTTGGGGAAAGTGGAGGTACATAAAAATCTATTTGATGGTCACAATTGATGAAACCGATGAGTTAGACCATTGGGCCTTAGCCAGACAGATCGGGGAGTAAAGTCTAGAATATTTCCAATCTCAACTATCCCCTGCCAAACACTTATAGTAGGCTTTATTTATTTATTTATTTATTTATTTTAATTTGAAAATATTTCGAGATACTTTGATGAAGTTTTTCACAGGAAGAAATGTTCATCCTATCCTTCTCTTGTCCACCTACAATTTCAATGACTTTATTAGTGTACCTCAATGAATCACACGGTCTATAAGGCTGAAATAGTTGACGTATCACTTGCTTTCCATCTTTCAACCAACTCAAAGGTCTGTCTTCGGGCACGTTCAGCATCAACAATCAAGCGGCTATTGCATAAAAACCTCAAGCCCTCTCCCGATCTCTGCACTCTCCTCAATGAGATTACAAATCGATGGACATAAGAGTAAATCCTTCCTAGAGTAAAATATCCTTGGGGTGGGTTCCAGGACACAAAAATGTCCAAGCAAATGCAGCGGCAGGTCAATAAGCCAAAGGGGTTGTAGAACTCCTTGTACAACCCCTGGGACTTCCTCCCCCTCCCATTCTCCATATTCTTCCCTTATCAACAATTTGCAGTTATATAAAGGCACCTAGAGCTGTTACAAGAGAAGAATTTGAAAATGAGATGCTTGTAAGCGTGGCTTGAACCCCTGACTAGGATAAATCCCTCTCTGCGCTCTCCATATATATATTTCATATAAGTTCTTTGAGTAATATATGAGGTTCTCTGATGATTTTAAAATTGATGGGATGTTGCCCCTTCTGTCGCAGGCCCAACCGGCCGACGACCAAACACCATCTAATTTGGATTCCAAGCACAAAGCTTTATATACTAGATATTGAGGATTTAGGTTTGTGAGCTGGAAGGGGCTGGAAAGCATTCAAGGCTGTTCGACCGTTTTTGCAATCGGTTTACTGGTTGTATAAGGATGAGACATGTAATATGCCCCCCTATCAATTTGTAACGGGTTAATGTCATCTCACTCTGTTGAACGGAAGGTTAATTTGTCTTGAGAGCAGTGCCAGATTATTCCAACAGTATAGTGGAATAGATAATATTAGCCCGACTTTGTAATTAGGTAGACATAAACTTATTCCAAGCACTGGTCTTTAGAAAACATATCCTTCCCCAAAAAATAAAATAGCAAAATACCACACGTTGTAATTTCCACGGTGCACATCACGGAGCACACCACCTTCTTTCTTACTATCTCATTATCTATATTCTTTAATGCCTTTGTGAAATAATACAATCAGTTAGGTCATACACGGTCTACTCTATTCATAACCTACATGCTCATTCGTTCTGGTTAGACGGCCCACCACCTGGTCCCCCAATCTTAGTATGAAACTCGTTTAATGGTTCACGAGCTTAATAATATGAGCTAGTGCTTTGAATATTGGCAGGATTGTTGATAATGACCAGCGTCGGATCGCATGCTCGATATCATTGGCTTTGGACAGGTGCCTGAGACCAAAACCACCAAAAGTGCGGAGATGATGAGCGGCAGCAAAGTCATAATATGTAAATAGCTGTTCAAGAGCTAGTTGTTTGGGGGTGCTCTGGGAGGTTTTATGCCCTACACTAAGGAGAGACCTCTGACTTATATTATGTGATGCGCAGGCAGCATTGCTGTGTGATAAGTAAGTAACTCTTGGACATGACAAAAACCGGTAATGCTTACGCCTAAAACGTGGAAACACTACCAGATCGCATATG